TAGAAGATGTGAGAAGAAAAGAGAGTGAAAGCAATAGTTGCGAGAACATAGATTTAACTCCGTAGCTTTTAGAAACAATGGTTGTAAGAAAACAGATTTTGAATTTGCTAGTGCTTTCAAAATATGCACAATATGGGCTAGGTTGGGTAAAACTTAAAAATATGGGCCGTTTTTTTATGGTGTGAAGCCAAGTGTAGTTTCTTGTAATTCTTTCGAAAAGATAAGTATTGCTTGAATACGAAAGGAGTTCAAAAATAATCTTTATTTTCTCTATTATTATTAAAGTAAAAATCCCCAATAAAAAAGATAAATTATTTTTTTGAATGTTAGGAATAAATAATCAACTCTTTGAATTAATAAATTAGCAATAGAATCCAATTTAATTATTTTTTAAAATCTGTAAAGTTATTTTCAAATTGATCAAACTCTTAAGTTATACAAATTTGTTTCCACAAGAAGGGTACTAGCGGTGATATAAGTTAAAAAATTGAGAAAAATTAGTTATATTATAGTATTATTAGTTACTTATTTTGAGTATTAGGTAACAACATTAATTATAATTTTCATAATATATTCCCAAAGTTCTCATAAATCAGAATATGACACAACAGACTTTTATTCGACAAGATTTCTTTATTTAGTTGGATCAACATTTATTATTAAGAATAAGAGCTAACATTTTTTTAATTTTTGTTTAATAACTCACACATATTATTTAATTATAGTCACGTTATTTTTTAAAACTATATACTCACTGAAATAGGGTACACGCGCAAAGCGCGTTCCCTAAGACTAGCTAATAATATATATTCACTAAGATTGTTATTTTTGCTATTCATTGTGATGACGCGATAGGTCACTTTGAGTTTTAGCCTTCATTTCTGTGTTTCAAGAACTTAGATAGCTCTGTTTAGCCTTTTTCGATTTGCTTGCACAGTCCGTGTTTTTTTCCGAAAAAGTTTTATGTGAATTGTTTTTTGAAGAAAAAGTGAAATTTGGCCTTAAAACTCATTTGAGTTGACTACTTTTGTGTAAACGGACCCGAATCAGTGTTTTAACGGTCCCGGTGGGTTCGTATCGTTATTTGGGACTTGGGCATGTGCCCAGAATCAAATTCGGAAGTCCCTAACTTGATTTATCATGATTTGAAAACTAGTAATTTTAAGGTTTAAAGAATTCCTAAGTGTGACCGTAGGCTAACTTTGTTGCTACCGGGTTCGAATTTCAGTTCCGGAACTTGAAATAGGTTCGTTTCACTATTTGTGACTTGTCTGCAAATTTGGTGCAAAACGGAGTTGATTTGACGCGATTTGGACGTCCGGTTGTAGATCTACATGTTCTTGAGTTTCTTTGGAAACGTCATTCATTTTTGATGTCTGATTCATGGTTTAAGTGTTATTTTGGTGTTCTAATCGCATTAGCAAGTCCATATGATGTTATTACACTTGTGTGCATATTTGGTTTGGAGCCCGAGGGGCTCGGGTGAGTTTCGGATAGGCTACGAAGTGATTTTTGGACTTAGGCAATTGCTGGTTATAAGTTTTCGGATATCTGGTGCATCCTTCTTTGCAATCGCGAAGAGTAACATGGGCTGGGGTGGAATTTCCTCTATGCGAACGCGAGGCTTAGGTCTGGAACGCGAAGCAATGGTGGGATCACCCTTCGCGAACGTGTCCAAAGCTACGCGAACGCGATGGGTATGGGCCTGGATGGGGGATCAACTGTGTGTTCTAAGCGAACGCGATTGGAGGGTCGCGAACGCGAAGCCCAGGTGGGCATAGCCATCGCGAACGCATAGGGCATTTCGCGAACGCGAAGGGCAATAGGGCTACTGTGCTTCGCGAACGCGTCTGGTCCTTCCTGAACACGATGAAGACCTGATGCTAGTTATCTAAAATGTTCCAAAGACGGGATTTTCATCATTTTTCACCATCTTCACATTAGAGCTCGGCCTAGAGGCGATTTTGAAGAGAAATTTCATCCCCACTTCGTACGTTATTATATTTTAACTCGTTTCTTTCATTTCCATCAACACCCATTGATTTCTAACCTTAATCTATGCTCTTTCATGGTAGAAAATTAGGAATTTGGATAGAATTGGGGGGCTTTTTGTAAAATTGAGATTTAGACCTCAAATTCAGGTCGGATTTCGAAACTAATCACATAATCAGGCTCGGGGGTGAATGGGTAATTAAATTTTGGTCTGAATCTCGGGTTTTGACCAAGCAAGCTCGGGGTTGACTTTTGTTGACTTTTTGGAAAAAGTATAGAGATCCTTGCTTTATCTGTTGTAATTATTTTCCTTAGCATTGTTTGATGATATTAAGTCAATTTTGGTTAGATTCGATTGGTTTGGAGGCGAATGTTAGAGGAAAGGCCCCGGTTGTGCTTTGAGTTGATTATGGAGCGAGGTAAGTGCTGGGTCAAACTTTGATTTGAGGGAATTAGGAACTCTTGAACTATATGTTATGTGAGTTATGTGTGTAACGACGTATATGCGAGGTGACGAGTGTATATATGCGTCAAAAAAATTATTTCCATGCTTTCTCATATTTCATGAATTATTTTATTCCATGTCTTAACTGTTACATGTTTTAATTGCTTTCTATGCCGTATTTGTCATTAATTATTCTTGTATTGAAATATTCGTTCCTTCCATGACTCCATGATTAATTGCTACTTGCCTTAATTGTCTTACTTGTACACTTTAACTGCTACATACTTGGTTTGTTTTGTTGCTCTTGTATTATTTGTAGCCTTTCTTTGATTAGTACGTGATTCCTTTATTGTTTTGCTTTCATATTCATCGATCGTACAAATTCTTGTGAATTGAGTTATCGGGTTGATTTTATTTATTGAATTTATTTATGGATCGGATTGCACGCCACAACGGTTGGGATATGGTAGAATAAGGGAGAATTTTGATATTGATACAGTAGGATCAGGTTGCGCGCCGCAATAATTGTGTACGTATACTTGATATCGATAAACTGTGATATGGTGAAATAAGGGAGGATTATGATATTGATTCTGATTATATGGTGGGATCGGGTTGCACACCGCAATGGATTTTATATGTGATTCTTGATATTGATATGGTAAGATAAGGGAGGCCGTGTGTTGTACGGTGGGATCAGGTTGCGCTTCGCAATGGATTATGTGTGTTGTATTCGTTGTTGCTTTTGTGTTGAATTCTAGTGTTGTTACATGAAGATGTGATGGATATAAATAAATTATTCTTATATTTTAATAAAGAAATATAATATTTTAGATATAAAACATGACCAATTTATATCCTATTCTCGCACTTTTCTAACAATTCTTGCAGGAAAAAGAATACATGGAAAAAGAGAAAAAGAAAGAAACTACAGCTCAAGGGAAGAATGATGCATCCGTGACAATTTCATCTAAGACTAGACAAAGTCAAGAGATACAAAGTTATAGCAAATTCTCACCAATCTATCAAGACAAATTGCCATATCAATTTCTCATCAAGGCCATATGATATATTAATATTATATTGCAATTTCTCACCAAGGCCTTGTAGGAATTTTCCTATAAATAGCCATATGTTTGTAGATGAAAAAGCATCCTCTTGTATCCAATTTTCTATCTAGTTTTTTCTAAGTTTCTAAAGAGAAAGAGAAGAGTAATCTTGGTCTCTTCCTCTAATATTTCTCTTTGTAGTAAAAATATTCTTAGTCTTTTGAAAGTATTTTTAGCTTTTCTTACTTCATAATGGAGTAATTTTTTTTGTTGGGATAGTTGATGAAGCTTGATATAATTATAATACTATCTCAGTTTCAATACATTCTTGGCCTGAAACTCTATATACATTTCATATTGTGATGGAATGATAATTTTTTAATCATTATTTATCACATCTACATATTTTATATCTAAGTTATTCTTATATAAATTTTGTAATTCTCACGGAGCAAAATTAATATATAATAACTGATGAATAGAATATTAGAGTAAAAGTAATTTTTAATAAGATTATTATTTCAAGTCTATAATCTTGCTTTCCTCAGTTTTAATTCTCACGGAGGAATTGTTGAAGGCAAGATTATTGATTTTCTAGTAAAAATATTCTCACGAAGTTTTTACTATACTTGAGCACAAAATATTAGAGTTAAAATAATTTTTAGTAAGATTATTGTTTCAAGCCTGTAATCTTGCTTTCCTCAGTTTAATTCTCACGGAGAAATTGTTGAAGGTAAGATTATTGATTTTCTAGTAAAAATATTCTCACGAAGTTTTTACTACGCTCGAGCACAATTCAGGTAAGATATTTCAGTTTAATCGTCACTAGTTTTAAATCAAATGATNATTCTACAATCTTCATTTTTTTATTTTGTTCATTTTTTAAGTTATATTTTATTTATTTTTATTATTATATAATTGTAAATACTTGTTTTTACTATTCTAGTTCTAAGAGTATCCTTTGTACTATTCTATATTACTATTATAACTATTACTTTTACTATATCTTTATAAAATAATATTTTATTCAACTTTTTTTAATTGATAGTACTTTAATCCTTCAACATACTTGATTTATTATTGGTTTTTTTCCATATAACGTAATTAGTATTATATTATTTCTTTTGATGGTTAGTTACAACTTACTGTTTTAGTTAACTATAATATTACCGTACTAATTTTTTTTAATTCATTTTTAAAACTATCTATTACTATTTTAGGAACTGTCTTTATTTTACTTTAATTTCAGATAGTTTATGACCCGCTCTTCTGCAAAAGAGTTGGCCAATTACGATCCTGAAATTGAAAAAACTTTGCGATTGTGCAGGAAAGGACAAATATCGTCTCAAAACATAACTTGTAACAGAATGGAGCACCAATTAGAAGATGATAACAATCCACTACAAATTCCACCACCAGCTCATGTAGAGGAGCAGTTTGATGAAGTGGCGCCAAGACCAGCAAACAGAATCCTAAGGGATTATGCTAGACCTGATCACTTTAACTGGGAATCTAGTGTCAGGAAACCTCCAGTAGCAGCCAATAACTTTGAAATCAGGACAGGCCTGATTCAAACAATTCAACAATCTTGCATTTTCACTGGTGATCTAAGTGAAGATCCACATAGTCATTTAATTGACTTTTTAGAATTAGTTGAAACTGCAAAGTATAATGGAGTACCTCCTGAAGCAATTAAGTTAAGGCTATTTCCTTTTTCTTTAAAAGGAGAGGCCAAAACTTGGTTACGAAGTTTGCCGCAAGGGTCTATTACCACATGGAACCAAATGACTCAGAAATTTTTAAATAAATATTTTTCCCCTGCTAAAACAACAAAGTTAAGACAGGATATATCTAACTTCTTGCAGACTGACACTGAGTCAGTTTATCAATCTTGGGAAAGATTGAAAACAATGTTAAGGAAATGTCCACATCATGACGTTCCTGAACATATGCAGTTGTACATTTTTTATCATGGTTTGAAACCATCTTCTAGAAATGTAATAGATGCAGCTGCAGGAGGTTCCATAATGGGAAAAACCACAGAAGAAGCATTGCAATCGCTTAATGAAATTTCTGAAAATGCCATACAGTGGCCATCTGAGCGTGTAATCATTAAGAAAGCTGCTACAGTAAATCAGGTGGATGCTTTAAATACACTAACACAACAGATTGTCTCTTTGGCACAAAAATTTGAATCTTTTCAGGTAAATACACAACAACCAAGCCAGTCTGAGGCTTGTGACTTGTGTGGAGGAAACCATCTAAACCACGAATGTCAAGCAACCAATCAAAATGATGAACAGGTCAATGTCATCGGATACAAGCAGTATCCTTTTGGAAGTCCATTAGCACAAAAACATCCAGGATTTCAATGGAGCAATGCAAATGGTGCTGAAAACTCTTAAAATTACCAAAAGCAACAGGTACAGAGTCTACCCGGATATCAAAATCAAAATCGTGGACAACAAAATTTCAGGCCTTATCAGCAAACAACTCCATATCAGCAAAAGCCTCAACAAGGCCATCCAAGCCTTGATGACCTTTTGTACAAGTACATTTAGGTTACTGATGAAAAAATGGAAAGCCAAAATTCAGCTCTAAAAAATCTTGAAATTCAGTTAAGCCAATTGGCAACTCTTGTGTCTGAAAAGATTCACGGTCCTTTACCGAGTAATACAGAGAAAAATCCAAAAGAACACCTTAAGGCCATTGCCTTACGGTCAGGTACGACTCTTGATGAACCCCATGCAAACAGACTAGAAAAGAATCAATCAGAACAACAGGTAGACAAGGGCGAAAATGTTGAGATACCCTCTCAACCATCAGAAGAGAAAGAAGCCAAGAAAAAAGAAGAAAAAAATACTAAAAATTTGACTTCTTTCCCTGTTACAATTCCTTTCCCACAAAAGATGAAAAGAGAAAAGTTTGATAATCAATTTGCAAAGTTTTTGGAGATTTTAAAACAAATTCACATTAACATTCCTTTTACTGTTAAAAAAGTCTTGTTCAGGTAGTACCAAAAAAAGGAGGTATGACAGTGATAAAAAATAAAAATAATGAACTAATACCTACCAGGACCGTCACAGGATGGAGAGTCTGTATAGATTATAGACGTCTTAATGATGCCACTAGAAAAGATCACTTTCCTTTGCCATTTATTGATCAAATGTTAGACAGAATTGCAAGATATGAGTTTTATTGTTTTCTTGATGGCTATTCAGGGTATAACCAAATACCAATCGCACCAGAAGATCAAGATAAGTCAACTTTCACATGTCCTCATGGAACATATGCATAAAGGAGAATGCCATTTGGTTTGTGCAACGCTCCTGCTACATTTCAGCGTTGCATGTCAGCAATTTTTTCTGACACGACTGAAAATTTTCTTGAAATTTTCATGGATGATTTTACACTCTTCGGCAAGGATTTTGAGGATTGTCTTCACCACTTAACCTTAGTTCTTAAGAGATGTGAAGAGACAAACTTAATTCTTAATTGGGAAAATGTCATTTTATGGTTACTGAGGGAATTGTTTTAGGACATAAAATCACTGCTAAAGGGATAGAAGTTGATGTCACGACCCAAAATCCACTAAGGGTCGTGATGGCGCCGGACACTGCTGTCAGGCAAGCCAACCAATTTACTTAATCAAATTCTCGTTTTAATAGTTCTGCAATCTATGATTTTCCTTCAAATTTAGCAATTTTAAAGAATATAATCTCAAATCAAATTTAAATGATACGTAGTCAATACCATATTCAAACCATCCCAAAACCCGGTGTCACAAGTGCATGAGCATCTACTGATAAGGAAATAAAATACAACATCCGTCCGGAATACAATGGACAGGAAATAAATACAATGTACTGATGAGGGCTATACTAGCTGCGGGCCGCCTCGAATAGTGCAACTCACCTAGCCCCAAATCATCCGCGCTGCTATGCCCGGTGGCTGCTAGAAATAAATATACCTGTGTAACAAAAATGCACAGAAGTGTAGTATGAGTACGTAAACAACGTGTACTCAATGAGTATCCCGCATAATCTCGAAGAAGTAGAGACGAGATGGTCAACTTCGTCACTCACTAGAGGTCAATTGACAATATACTAAAAATGTGAGGAAATCATGGATTTATATAGCAGTTCTAATTCACGAAGCCAGAAAACAGATAAACGACTTCAACAAATAATCAAGGACTTTCAAGGTTTACTCTTTATTATCTTCTCAATTTATATCAAGCCACGAAGGGCAATTTTCACATTTACAGTTCTCAAGTAACAATATAACATGCACAATCACACCGAGGCGACGACCCGATCCAACAGAAATAAACTGTGCACTTGCCAAGGGTCGACGACGCGCCTATAGATGCATCTATTTAATCTGCCGAGGCGTTCGGCCCGTTCCAAAATAAATACATAGTGACATTCAATCAAGAAGCCAACATGGGGCAATTATTCAAGGAAAAGCTAATTCTCTTTCAACAATTTACGAAAATGAGGTTTAGATCTTGTTAGAAATTCATTTACTATTTGGATGTGGATTAAGCGATTCAACTATCCATAAGATTACAATTATTCAAAGTATAGCATGCTTTTGGGTCCTAGACTACCCGGACAATAGCATAATAGTAGCTACGCACGGACTCTCGTCACCTCGTGCATACGTAGCCCCCACAAACAGGAGCACATAATCAATTATTTCACCTATGGGGACAATTCCCTCTTACAAGGTTAGAAAGGAGACTCACCTCGCTCCGAAGATCCATAATCGGCAATCCATGCCCTTCCGAGGACCCCAATTGATGCACCATGCTCCAAAACTAGCTAACGGTTACGCAAATCCATTAATTTATGCTCAAATATTCATTACAAACTAATTTATAGCAATTCCTAACTCCGATCGAAAAGTTGACCAAAACGCCCTCGGGCCCACGTGCCCGGAATCCGAAATTTTTTGAAGATAAAGATTACCCATGACCTTGGGAACTCAAATATATAATTTTCTCTAAATTCCATACTCAATATCGTGGCCAAATTCCAAGAAATGCCAATTTCTAGGTTTTCCACCAAAACCTAAATTTTCCATAATTTCCTTGCCTAAATCCATGTATAAACTTGATATTTAACTCAAAGCTAGCATAAATTACTTACCTCACAATGAGTGACGAAAATGGCACCTCAAAGCTGCTCCCCATCGACTCTAATGGAAGAAAAATGGGGTTGAAATGAACTCAACCCCGAACTTAAAAGACCTCACTGCTCCAGCTGTTTCCGCACCTGCGGTTCCTTCGCCGCTTCTGCGGTTCCGCAGGTGCGGTTAAAATGCCGCATCTGCGGTCTTTCCTGAGCCACCCCTTTCTCGCTTCTACGACTTGCCACCCACAGATGCGGTCCCGCTTCTGCGGAACTTTGACCGCATCTGCGGTCCTTTCCAAGATACTCCCATCCGCTTCTGCGACCCATTCTCCGCAGATGCGGTTCCGCTTCAGCGGTACCTTGACCGCATCTGCGGTCCTCAGTTCCGATGTTTAAACCTATCAAATCACGTTCGATTGACCTCAACTTTTGCACACAAGTCATATTCGACATTACGGACCTATTGCAACTTCCGGAATCGGATTCCGACCCCGATATCAAAAAGTTCACTTCCGGTCAAACTCCTCAAAACCTTCAAATTTCTATCTTTAGCCAAATGACTCCAAAATAACCTACGGACCTCCGAATTCACTTCCGATCGAGCTCCCAACTCTAGAGTCACCATACGAAGCTATTCACAGTCTCGGAATCCCAAATGGACAACGATAACACTGAAATGCACTTCAAGCCAAACTTATGAAATTTCTTCTAAAATGCTAACTTCCACAGTAGGCGCCAAAACGCTCCTGGGTCATCCAAAACCCGATCCGGGCATACGCCCAAGTCCGAAATCATCATACGAACCCGCTGGAACCTTCAGATCCCGATTTCGAGGCCGTTTACTGAAAATTCCAATCCTAGTTCATTCTTTCAACTTTAAGCTTCCGAAATGAGAATTCTCTTTCCAAATCAACTTTGGACCTCCCGAAATTCAATTCCAACCACGCGCACAAGTCACAATGCCTGAAATGAAGCTGCTCACGACCTTAGGCTGCTGAACGGAGCGCTAGAACTCAAAACGACCGGTCGGGTCGTTACATTCTCTCCCACTTAAATATACGTTCGTCCTCGAACATGCTGAGAACTACACTGAAGTAGTTCGAAATCACTGGTTAACTTCTCATGCGCCTTCCCGTGCTACCACAACTCAGTTGAGCACATTAGCTCGATCAATTCTGAAGATACTCTCTTTTATTCAAGCAGATACGCCTTAAAGCCCAATTCCAACATCCGGAATTATATGCCCGACCTGTTTCCACCATAAGGTCACCATTTTAATCACCACACGCTGCTCAAACATAGCTGCATAACTTTGCCGAATTCACACCTAGCATCTTACTCACCGGACCATAATAACCTTTTTCTGATCAACTTAGTCTAAATCCTACTAATCTGATGCTCCCATTGCACCCCATGACATACACAGGCCTTACTCTAACTCTTACAATGTGCCACAACGGAAGAGATGTGCAGAAATTCATAATCAACTGCCGAATCAACCAATCATTTGGGTCTATACTCCTGACAATAACCATCACCTCATTCTGAACCAAATAATGGTCTTAGCTCCTTAATGTACTTCATATAGTCAGATTGCACTGATCCTGAATCCAATGATCTCATCTTACCCAGTACGAACTGCTCAATCAATAAGCCACCCCGGACATAATCAAAGTCACATATGACGCCACAATGTGCCAATAGGCCATCAATTCGAACGCGATACCCAAGGAACACGAACTCTGGAAGGAATTACCTAACTCCCGCACTAATATGGACTTTCCTTAGAAAAATAGGAAGCGAGACGCACGAAAATAGCATATAGAAAACTATACTCAATATCACACTGTTGCGGCGCGCAACCCGATCCAAACATAGATCTCACATAAGGAGATTGCACATCGAGCACAATTTGCCCATTACAATAAAATATCAAATTTCGGTCACAAGCAGGCTAAGTGCATAATAACATCCCTGAGGGAACATCTAGCGCTATAAGCTAAGAAACCCAAGCACAACTTAGGTGCAATATACAATCTGAATCTCAAGAGCCCTTTGGCTCATATAACATCCTTTCTGCGCGGATCCTCAGCACGTAAGCAATTTCTCAAGCCGTCTCACAACCCACACGGCGCAACGTATCACTACACGAAATATCCGACAGCGAAATAACACCCTGACTACTCCTCCACAAGGAGCACATTACTGAAATGAACACAACTGGCCTGACATAGAGCCCATATTCACATTTAAATTCATCCACCGACCTCAAGTCGATCCCGATCATATCAACTAAACCAATAACCTTTCAAAGGTCCATATTAATCTCCCTCTTCTCATAACACACAAGAACAACCATCATAACCGGAGTACTCATCCACAGTCCACAACTCAGTAACTGGGTGCCCTCCAGGCACATATTCTCAACTTATCGATATCATCACAAATCTTCATACTCGGTTTAAGTTCTTCAATCAATCAAGTGACCATCTGCCACACTTATACAATCCTCCTAGGGGAAACACTCCCACAACCTTCCATAACAAGTAGTTGGGTCGTACCTCCAAACCACAGACCGCACTAACACTGAAAAGCAATCAAGAATCATTAACTAGGACGCAAAGACCCTTTCCACAAACACCGATCTCAGGTGACGCTGAAGACAATACCAACTTACCTTAAACATCGAAACTCCTTTCCTGCTCATCTGAGCTCGTGACATCCTTGCTCACGCCGAGCTGCTACCTTGATCTTCACTTCAAATTCCATACCATTCACTGCACTTAACATGCCAGCATACGATAGAACTTGTCCTTTCATCATAGCTTCGGAATCACTAATAGGTTAGCACTTCATCATATAAAAACATTCACTTAACTCACTTCAGGAGAGCCATAATGTCACACTAGTGAATTCTCATAACCGTAGAATATGCAAATCTCTAAGTATTGGTCTAAGCCACCATAACCCTTCCGGAAATTCTGCTTCCACATAACAAGCCATAATAGTAGTATGCTTCTGAACAACATCAATTGCGGCGGCTGACAAGCCTGATACGCACCATCACAACTCACTTGCATAACTCGATCACGCTGAGGAAACTGATCACTAACACCAATATGCCAAATTCAATTATGGCCAATCAATCTATCTTCTTCCAATTTATCCTTCATTACCTTAGAGATAATACTAACTCCGTCCACACATCACATACTCTATTTGCACTCATCTAGAGTTACCTTGAATCACGAAACCATGCTGTCTCAAATCCCGCGAACCACTTCATACCTTCCTTG